CGGAGGAGAAAGGGAGAGAGAGTGGGCGTGGGGAGGCCTCCTCTCCGGACACACGCTGGGAAGAGGACCGTAGGGAGCACGCTGCCGGCGCGGCCTCGAGTCCCCAGCCGTTTGGTCCAGAGCGCCTCCTGGGGGACACATCCTCTGTCGCCTCCCGGCGGCCGCGCGGGCACCGGCGACTCCAGGGGTGCTGGGCCCCGCGCGCGCCTGGAAATGGACCCAGCTAGACTGTGCCCGCGCCCCCGGCTGGGGCTCTGCTGTGGTCCTTCCCTCCCCACCGTCTTCCCTGTGTTGGCCCGGAGGGGTTAGGCACCAGGCTTCTGCTCTCAAAGAGCTAACGGTCTGGCAGGGAGACCCAGAGGCAGACATGTAAACAAACAGTGCCAGACACACCTCCGCGCGCAGAGGATGGCAGATAACGCAGTGGGGGCGGCAGGGAGAGCTTCCCGGAGGAGGAGACGTGTCATTTGAGAATTAAGTATGGGAAGGAATTGTGGTGGGGGGTGGCATGGGAGGAAAGGGCGTTCTGAGCAGAGAAAACAGGAAAACAGGGAGACAAGAAAATGATGGGTATGCGTGTTTGTGTGTGTGGACAAGCAAATGTGTTTTCCAACATCGCAGGCTCTTCCAGTATGGCAGAGCTCATATTCATATTGTAGAACCTATTACCTAACCAGCACCAATGGATCTGTTGCTCCGCCCACCTCCCCCTCCCAGGTCCAGTTTTGCTAGGGCCAGTGTGGACAGATTTCATTCAGAATCCACATTTTGGACGAAATTTCATCCTGTTTCTCCCACAAATTGGCGCGTGAAAAGCAGCTGTAATTAGAAGAGTCTCTTCTGCTAATCTCAGTCCCAGGCTGAAAGGCACTGCTGTCCCCTCACTCACACTCCTTCCTCGAGGAAACTGGGTGATGATGTTTCTGGCTGGGTGCACGGGGTGGACAGTGGAGCTATTCAGGGTGGAAAGGAGCCCTGGGGGAGGGGCCAATTGGATGAGGACAGAGATGGTGGATTCACCATTGCACCCTGGCACTTTGAGAGGTCTTTGGGACATCCGTGTCACTGGCCTGGAGTCCGGTGCATATTCCGCCCTGGCACTCAAGAGGTCAGGCCAAGACTCGAGCTACAGATTTTGGGGGTATTCCAGCTTACACTAATATTTAAAAATGTAAGTGTGGACAAAAGTGAGAAAATGCACAGTGGGCTAAAGACAGATTCTAGGGAACACCCGCATTTAGGAACAATGTTTAGCCTCGTACTTGATGAGCAGTGACCACTCAGTGAATCCTGATTGAATTAATGAAATGTTGCGGTGGCACAACACGAGAAAGAAAGAACTAGTAGAGTACAGGAGAGAGAAGAACACCACGGAAACGGAGTAGGGATTTAAAGGTAGGAGTGATCAACAAGCGCTAGGGAGCTGGATGGGTATTGAGGAATGTTCTCAGCTCCGCCAGCAGGGAGGCTGAGGGCCACTGTGGGCAGGACAGGGCCAGAGCCATTGCTGGCTGTGCTTGTCACACTCCTTCCTTAGCACGGGCAGGGACTGAACCTCCTCCTTTGGAAATTTCTCTTTTATTGGGTATTGATTTCATAGGAGCAAATCTCAGAGATAACCAAGACGTATTCCTTGGATGATTTAAGTTGGTTTCTGACCACTAACCAGAGTGAATGGTTGAAATCCTCAGAAGTTGTTGGCTTTGGAGAACTATTTTGCTAGTGATGAGTAGTTTGGTTTAACTACCCATAATTATAGTCCATTACAAATGAAATGAGCAGAGGGTCTAATTTAGTCTTTCTCTCTCTCTCTCCCTCTCTCTCTCTTTTTTTTTTTTGGCTGAAATCATTTGTGACTTTATCTGAAGGAGAGACATCACAGATTCTCTCTAGGCTTCCTAACCACATTTTGTGGGTAAAGTACTCGATAGACACATTTAAATTTGTTCTAGGAGTCTTTCTAAGAAATCTTGCAGTGTAACAGGTTTGGTGGAGGTGGTAGACTGGGTTTAATGGAATAAGAGAGAATACAATAATAAAAAATGCCAGATGTTTTTCTCAGACAACATTTTAACAGCGGGTTTTAATTCATATAGGACTTTCCTAGGGCAGTGGAAGGGACCCCAGAAGACGTCAATGGCTAAATAATTCACAGGGTTCTAGATCTGGCTCAGCCACTGACCAGCTCTGTGACCTTGGGAATGTGATTTAGCCCATCTGGACCTTGGTTTGCTGTCTGTATTATGAATTAGGGAATTTAGAAGCTATGCCCATGTTATGAAATTGTGGTGATTGACTGCACAACTCTGTGAGTACACTGAAAACCATTGGATTGTACATATTAATGGGTGAGTTGTATGGTGTGAGAATTATATCTCAATAAAGTATATATACTATATGTATGTATATGTGTGTATACATATACACACATATATCTCAATACTGAATTATTATTATTATTATTATTGTGAATTGGAGTCTCACTCTGTCACCCAGGCTGGAATGCAGTGGCATGATCACAGCTCACTGTTGCCTCGACCTCCCAGGCTCAGGTGATCCTTCTGCCCCAGCCTCCCAAGTAGCTGGGACTACAGGCACATGTCACCATGCCTGAGCAATTTTTTTATATTTTTTAAAAATAGAGACAAGGTCCCTATATTGCCTAGACTGGTCTTGAACTCCTGGGCTCAAGCAATCCTCTAACCTTGACCTCCCAAAGTGCTGGGATTATAGGTGTGAACCACTGCTTCCAGCCTCAATTCTGAAATTTTTGAGTAATTCACTTAAAGCATTTTTAAAAGAGATAAAGATAATAAAGTGGATCTTTTATACATAAGGGGACCAGGACCATGGCAAACAGATTATTTTTCTCAACGACAGGCAAGGTAGAATTACTTATAGCCTGATACTTACTACTTTTCCCCTGATACCTTGCCTATCTCAGAGAAAAAACAATCTCCTTACTTTACAGATAACGAAGAACTGTAAACCCCAGGGATTATGCATCATTTTGGCAGCGTGTGAAGACCAACAGGAAAGAGGAAGAAATAAACTAAAATGAGAAGGGTATAAATTGAGTCAGTAACAAAATTTAATGAATTCTTTGCTTCAACATTTGGGTCTAGAACCCAAGTTTCCTGAGTTTGCAACTAAGTACTTTTTTTTTCTCTTGACAAGATTTTAAAATAGAACTGTTCACTTTTCTGTAGGGATACAGCTTGAGCTATTAGAAATAAATAAGCCGGGCTCGGTGGCTCAGCCTGTAATCCTGCGCCTTTGGGAGGCTGAGGTGAGTGGATTGCCTGAGCTCGCAGGTTCGAGACCCGCCCGGGCAACTTGGTGAGACCTCATCTCTACAATAAATCAAAAATCAGCCGGGCATGGTACCGTGCGCCTGTAATTCTACTCGGAAGGCTGAGGCGGAAGGATTGCCAGTGCCCAGTGGGTCGAGCCTGCGGCGGCCGGGAACCACCACTGCACTCCAGTCTGGGCGACGGAGTGAAACTCCAACTCAAAAAAAAAAAAAAAAGAAAGAAATACAAATAAAATAAATGCAAAATAACTTAGAGATGGCATTGTGGTTTCTTGTTAAATGTGGTGTCTGACCAATAAAAATAGAGCTTACAATAATTACGTTAGTGTTACCACCCACTGATCTGTATTTGTTATGCTTATTTCATAGTGATGCTATTGTTGGTGAAGGAGGCTCAGGCTGCACCTGTGTGTGCTATAACCTGGAAAGTGTACTCATTGCCATTTATTTCCATTTCTGGACCTCACTGCCCTCCAGGGGCCTTGCTCCACATCCCATAAGTCTAGGGACCAGTTTCATCTCTCTTCTTTTTCCTTCTTCTCTTTCAAGACGAACCATCTAGTGATGATACTCTTGTGAGTGCCGTGTTAAATTTACATCTTTTTGTCCTTATGTAGCAGGGCCCTTTAACCCCTACCATGTGACCCAGCAACACAGTAGGGAAAGAGAGCCCCTAACACTACTTTTTTTGGTAACGTCCCCCCTTTCTCTTTTAACGCATTAGCCAGAAAAAAAAATGAGTGGTCACAAGGGGCCTAGTTAGATTCCCTGTGATCACTGACTGTACAGGCTGACCATTTATGAGGAAATGCTTCAGAGAAGGATTTTCTTTGTAAATTATGAGAGTCTCTAGGGAGGCAATGAATGTCTCTTGTTTCACTATCTCATCAGAGAGAAAGTTAAAAATGCACTTTGCAAAATCCATAATGGTTTGTTTTTTCTCGTAGTTGCATCAGAAAATATATTAAAGCAGAACATTCTTGCTGCTTTTCACATAGATTGCTTGGTACATTAATCCGTAAATCAATGTTTTTTTTTTTAAGTCAAGGTGTAAAGATAAATGTTCAAACCAATTTAATTTTGATTTTTTAAGCATCTGAAGGATAATCCAAACACTTATTACCACTTGTGACTTTTTTGTTCTAGAAAGTAAAGGTAACTCAGGGTATCACTTGGAATTTGATTTAAACATGCATTTGAAAGCATGGATTTTTTTTTCCTATTTCTTTAGCTTAATTTTCCGGCATTGTTAATAAATTGAATGTAAATTATATTTTCCAAAATTAAGTGTATGGGGAATTGTCTCATGTGTACTTGGGGAAGCTATTATTGGCATGCTTTACCCAGAAAATAAAACTGTCAGTAAGCAGAACTGTCACACTTTATTTGGCTGAATCATTGGTGACTATATTTTGGAGATTCTATATCAGCAAAATGTGGATAGTTGGATTTTACTTTTCATAAAAACCTGGGCAAGTGTTG